TTCCCACGAGGCGATCAATCCTCCACTTTTGCTATTTTCTTTTCTATATTGTAGTGTTAGTTGATGGATGGCAATTGTATGGGTCTGTTAGAACTTTGTAAATTTGAAAGCCTTGTGGCAAACATAGCTACTTGGACACTATAACGAGACTGTGCCTTTAAGGGTTGCCTATATGGTTGGGAGATATGGGCTTAACTATGTTGAATGTATACGGGTTGTAATTTACATGTATTTGTTGTATTGGCTATCTGCCGAATGAAAATAGCTGTTTGTATTGGATTTTTCTTTCGTTTCACGAACGGCACTTTGGCGGGCCGTTCGTGAACCGAAAACACCCCCATGTAATAGCCCACACACTTAGAGGCATGTGGCGCTTGTTAACCGATTGCAACAATGTTGCAATCGGTAATTAGAGGCTCTCCTAGGTGGCCGCCGTTCGACTACCGACCATGCGGCGGTCGGCCATCTTGGATCCTTTGTTCCCGCAGCGGTGTTAGGTTGTCGAGCGCATGGTACTAAAAACGGCTACTCGACGGCGCGAACACCGCTGAGCCTCCAGGCCGTTCGGTACTTTGTTCCCTGGAAGGCAATCGGTCATTTAAACATGTCTTTTAATGAATGTGTTTTTTGTGTGGCGTTCGGTTGTTTTAGCTGGGATCTGAGCGGTAATCTCACGAATGATGCGCTCAGACCCCAGCTATCTACCGAACGTCCATTCGTGCAAATAGACTGCATATTCGAGGAGTTATGCATTTTAATATAAATTGTCGGTTCTGCTGCACGGAGGGATAATCCACTTAACGGTACATTCCAGTGGGAGGATCCCTCTCGTGCTGCAGTGCCTGATGGGAGAAATGCCCTGTACAATAAGTCCCCCATGTAGTCCCCTCTGGGACTGCCCCTGGGAAGGGACTCAGGAAACCCCTTGCATGGGGACTTGTATAAATTGTGGAGCTGAAATAAAAGACCTCAGTTGACTCTCAGAACTGTGTTTCGTCCGGTTACTGGGAGATTTGGGATATTGCCTTGCTTTTCAGTGCTTGACTGTGGATTATTTCCTGAACCAGCGGAATTCGTGGATTTAATATTGGCGTTCCGCTACAAGCCTGTCAGTAGTAAGCGTCCCAAGGGGCTTAGTTTTGTCTGTTATGTTAGTGTTTATGAGAACATCTGTCAGTCAAAACCAGAGTTATTCAAGAAAGGGTTTTACTAGGAAGAATCGATTGTTTTCAAGTTTCTCCTGGGATGCTCAAACAATACCACATTGTTACAATGTAATGCAGGGGTGTTTCTAGACTTTGCAAGGCCTTAGGCAAAACTCACCAACTAACATCCATGGTTGTTATACATTATATATGTTGCCTCTTTATTTTTGCATTGCCCATACCATGCCACACTCACATTGCAGTGGTAGACAACACACAAATACCATAAGCACATCGACACACTGTGATACACGCACATGCTTACGTATGCCAAGTCACAGATGCACACATATAGACAAATACAGACATACAGTTGCAAGAAAAAGTATGTGAACCCTTTGGAATGATATGGATTTCTGCACAAATTGGTAATAAAATGTGATCTGATCATCATCTAAGTCACAACAGTACCAAACCGGGGTACTGAATTACAGCCCATTCCGCTACAGAGAGGCTATATTTCATGACTGTGTGTGTATGATTAATGTATTCAGCTGGTGACTGTAACAGGGTGAGTAAAGGGGTAACTGTTGCAGGGTGAGAGTGACAGGGCAAGGGGAATGATAGAGATAGGGTTGGGATTTGAGTGTGGTAGAGTGAGGGAGGGTATGTGTGTCATTGTTGGGGGTGAGTGTAACAGGATTAGGGGTGAATGTGATGGGGTGAGTTTGACAGGGTTGGGCACAAGTGTGGCATGGTTGGAGGAGGGAGTGTCACCGGATGTTATAGAATTAACAGGGTTATTGTGACAGAGTAAATAACAGGATTATTGGTTGACTGAGTGAGTTTTGGCAGAGTAAGGAGGTGAGTATGATAAGGTTGGAGGTGAGTGTGGCAAGGTAGGAGGAGGGAGTTTCGGACCAGGGAAGGTGAGATTGACAGCATTAGGGGGGCTTTATGAGACAGGGTGAGTGTGGTTTGAATGGGAGATACGTGTGACTGGTTTGGATAAGTTAATGTGATAGAGTGAGTGTGGCAAGGTGATGGAGGATGACTCTGGCAGGGTGATGGAGGATGACTGTGACAGGATTGGGGAATGAGTGTGACAAGGAGAGACAAGGTGACAGAATTAGTGGAGTTAATGTGATAGGGTGAGCGTGGCAGAGTGAGGGATCTGAGTTTTAAAAGGGGGTGAGTGTGAGAGGATTAGTAGGTGTTAAATTTGAGAGTGACATGGGGAGTGTGAGAGAATTAGTAGGGGTTAATTTGAGAGTGGCATGGTAAACGGGGGGAGTGTGAGAGGATTAGTAGGTGTTAATTTGAGAGTGGCATGGTAAAGGGGGGAGTGTGAAAGGATTAGTAGGCGTTAATTTGAGAGTGGCATGGTAAAGGGGGGAGTGTGAAAGGATTAGTAGGTGTTAATTTGAGAGTGACATGGTAAAGGGGGGGAGTGTGAGAGGATTAGTAGGTGTTAATTTGAGAGTGGCATGGTAAAGGGGGTGTAGTGTGAGAGGGCATGGTAAAGGGGGTGAGTGTGAGAGGATTAGTAGGTGTTAATTTGAGAGTGACATGGTAAAGGGGGGGAGTGTGAAAGGATTAGTAGGTGTTAATTTTAGAGTTGCATGATAAAGGGGGTTAGTGTGAGAGGATTAGTAGGCGTTAATTTGAGAGTGGCATGGTAAAGGGGGTGAGTGTGAGAGATTAGTAGGTGTTAATTTGAGAGTGGCATGGTAAAGGGAGTGAGTGTGAGAGGATTAGTGGGTGTTGATTTGAGAGTGGCATGGTAAAGGGGGTGAGTGTGAGAGATTAGTAGGTGTTAATTTGAGAGTGGCATGGTAAAGGGGGGAGTGTGAAAGGATTAGTAGGCGTTAATTTGAGAGTGGCATGGTAAAGGGGGGGAGTGTGAAAGGATTAGTAGGTGTTAATTTGAGAGTGACATGTTAAAGGGGGGGAGTGTGTGAGGATTAGTAGGTGTTAATTTGAGAGTGACATGGTAAAGGGGGGGAGTGGGAGAGGATTAGTAGGTGTTAATTTGAGAGTGGCATGGTAAAGGGGTGAAGAGGCATGGTAAAGAGGTGAGTGTGAGAGGATTAGTAGGTGTTAATTTGAGAGTGGCATGGTAAAGGGGGTGAGTGTGAGAGGATTAGTAGGTGTTAATTTGAGAGTGACATGGTAAAGGGGAGGAGTGTGAAAGGATTAGTAGGTGTTAATTTTAGAGTTGCATGATAAAGGGGGTTAGTGTGAGAGGATTAGTAGGCGTTAATTTGAGAGTGGCATGGTAAAGGGGTGAGTGTGAGAGATTAGTAGGTGTTAATTTGAGAGTGGCATGGTAAAGGGGGTGAGTGTGAGAGGATTAGTAGGCGTTAATTTGAGAGTGGCATGGTAAAGGGGGTGAGTGTGAGAGATTAATAGGTGTTAATTTGAGAGTGGCATGGTAAAGGGGGTGAGTGTGAGAGGATTAGTAGGCGTTAATTTGAGAGTGGCATGGTAAAGGGGGTGAGTGTGAGAGATTAGTAGGATTTAATTTGAGAGTGGCATGGTAAAGGGGGTGAGTGTGAGAGGATTAGTAGGCGTTAATTTGAGAGTGGCATGGTAAAGGGGGTGAGTGTGAGAGATTAGTAGGTATTAATTTGAAAGTGGCATGGTAAAGGGGTGAGTGTGAGAGATTAGTAGGTGTTAATTTGAGAGTGGCATGGTAAAGGGGGTGAGTGTGAGAGGATTAGTAGGCGTTAATTTGAGAGTGGCATGGTAAAGGGGTGAGTGTGAGAGGATTAGTGGGTGTTGATTTTAGAGTAACATGGTAAAGGGGGTGAGTGTGAGAGGATTAGTGGGTGTTGATTTTAGAGTGACATGGTAAATGGGGTGAGTGTGAGAGGATTAGTGGGTGTTGATTTTAGAGAGGCATGGTAAAGGGGGTGAGTGTGCGTGTGGGAGGAGACCCTGTGTGGGGAGGCTGTAATTCAGTAACCAGCCTCCCCACACTGGTTGAAGTTCCATTTATTTACCACCTAACCAGGGAGGGGCAGTAATCAACTCAATGGTGATCTGCTGAGCTCTTTCTTCCCCTAGGAAGAAATACAGTATCTGACTCAATAATCTCCCAGGCAGAGGGGAGGGATTGCATTCCATGTATGGGAGTGCCTTATATTGTAACTCTGATATTATTGGTGTGTAAGTTTCTCTGTCAGTCCCCAACAAGGTCCATGTGGATGTCACCCTTGCATGGGGACTTGCATAAAAGGCCAATGTGGCTACCATTAAACCAGTTCAACTTAACCCTCAACACGCAGCCTCGTCTCGTTTTGTAGGCAGCTATAATCCCTGCTCCTGGGATTGTTCTTTGGATTAGTATACAGGCTATAACCACTAGCTCATGGTACTCAAGGCGACTAGGAAGCAACGATTGGAGGAAGCACCCAGTCGGGGTGCCAGGCGGTCCGTCACAGTGTGCATGCGTATTAGTGTGAAGTGTAAGTGTATGCGTGCAGAGCTGTATTTAAATATAGTATCAGGGATTAGGAATGCAAACATGTGTATTAGAACGCAGTTGTTGTTATTGCTATGAAACTGAAATCTCTGGAATTGAATAAAAGTTGATTTAACATTTTTATTTAAACTCATTTCAATTCAAGACCGAAGTTATCATGCAATCAAGAATGGAATGTCAAAACACTTTAATGAGGATATCGTCTCCCCCTTCTGCGTCAACAAAACTTTCTGCAACTTGTTTTTAAAGTTCATTATTTTATTTTGTTGAGTAATCTTTGAAAAAGAGAATTTTGCTTCTATAAACATATAAATAAAAACAATTTGTTTTTGTTATTTTTACTTTTACTAACAAGGTTCGTAGCTCATATGGAAATCGAGGGAAAGAGGGAGAGGTTACTGATATCGCCTTGCACAAAAGCCGCACCAATTAAAACTTTAAACAAGCTAAGGCGCGTGCTAACAAAGTCTGAATATTTAAATTGCTCTATCACCATAATGAAATGCAAATTATAGAGGAAGATATAGCGGATTTTTTTCCCAGCTGGGAGTGAAACTTCAGTCATCCTTTTTCTGTCTTCATTTTGTATGCTGTTATGTTAATATAATATACTGAATATTCTACTCCGTGAAATGCCCCTCAATTAAAAGTTTTGCATCGGTAATATAATTTTTCTTTTTCTAGGAACAATGCACTAATTGAAGGTTTGGTACGTATGCAAATAGAAATTAGATCGGGAAGCTATTTTTTTTACAAATTTTACAAAACATTTTTTTCCCCACCAGTTTTATTCATGGACGGAAATTTCAAATAGTTTGTAGAATGCTGAAAATATATCAGAAAAATAGTGAATCATGAAGAATGTTATTGCAAGGAATAGCAGGTCCATTTACGTAGATTTAATGAATACATTGGATGGACATTAAAACATAAAGGTACGTTTTATTTCTTCATATTACAAATCCTTGTCCGAATATCGCTTGCCAAGAGACAATGGGAGAAAAAAAAAGTATGGACGCGTTTCCTATCTCACCGACACAAATCCTCAGCAATCATAACTGAATCTAGTACCAACACTCAATTAAAAGGTTTACCTACCTGTGGAAATCACACACATTAACCCTTTAAAGCAAGGCTGTTAAACATTAACCACTGTGGAGCCCCCGAATTAGGCAATAGCTAGCTGTTCCCCTTAGCACTCGCTGTGCTGGAAAGAACTGATTAAACTTCCCTTCCTCATAGCTCCCAGACAGCACTGCAGGACACAACAAGAAAGGAGGCAGCAACTTAGCACCAGATCTGGCTCCAGGGGCCTTCAAGTAGGAGTGAGAGCTGGTGGGTTGCTGTGTCTAGAGGCTGAGTAGAGGTACTGGCGGCGGGTTTGTATATGTGTAAAGGTATGTGTATGTATGTGTAACATTGTGTGTATGTATGTGTAGCTGTGTGTATGTATGTGTAACATTGTGTGTATGTATGTGTAGCTGTGTTTGTATATGTGTAACATTGTGTGTATGTATGTGTAGCTATGTTTGTATATGTGTAATAGTGTACCTATGTATGTGTAGCTATGTTTGTGTATGTGTAACAGTGTGCGTATGTATGTGTAACAGTGTGCGTATGTATGTGTAGCTATGTTTGTGTATGTGTAACATTGTGTGTATATATGTGTAACTGTGTTTGTGTATGTGTAACATTGTGTGTAAATATGTGTAACTGTGTTTGTGTATGTGTAACAGTGTGTGTATGTATGTGTAGCTATGTTTGTGTATGTGTAACATTGTGTGTATGTATGTGTAGCTATGTTTGTATATGTGTAACATTGTGTGTATGTATGTGTAACTGTGTTTGTATATGTGTAACATTGTGTGTATGTATGTGTAGCTATGTTTGTATATGTGTAACATTGTGTGTATGTATGTGTAACTGTGTTTGTATATGTGTAACAGTGTCCGTATGTATGTGTAGCTATGTTTGTATATGTGTTAATTGTTAAGTTAAGTTCGTTGGCAAGGACGGTAATTTAAGTTGGAGGCTGTAGAGCAATAAGTGTAATTTAAATGTCAATTATGGTATGTATATATATATATATATATATATATATATATATTTATGTGTTTGTTTATATTTGAATTAAAGGAAAAAGAATAAAGTTCGGATGAGTCCTACAGTTGTAAGTTTAATAAATTATGTGGCCTGTTTCATCCAATATTCGTTCACATTCCCCGCTATGTACATACAAGTTGTATACCGTACATTAAGCTGTATACTGTACATTAAGCTGGATACTATACATTATGCTGTATATTGTACATTAAGCTGTATACCGTACATTAAGCTGTATACAATACATTAAGCTGTATACCGTACATTAAGCTGTATATCGTACATTAAGCTGTATACTGTACATTAAGCTGTATACTATCCATTAAACATTATACCGTACATTAAGCTATATACAGTACATTAAGCTGTATACTATACATTAAGCTGTAGTTGTTCTGGTGACTATAGTGTCCCTTTAATTCTCCCTTATATGTGTGTATATGTTTCTGTCAGCGTGTGTGTTCATCTGTGTGTGTCTGTGTTTATCTGTGTGTGTCTGTGTGTGTCTGTCTGTGTGTGTGTCTGTGTGTGTGTATCTGTGTGTGTCTGTCTGTGTGTTTATCTGTGTGTGTGTGTGTCTTTGTGTGTGTGTGTATCTGTGTATGTGTGTGTGTCTTTGTGTGTGTGTGTATCTGTGTATGTGTGTGTGTCTTTGTGTGTGTGTGTGTGTGTGTATCTGTGTATGTGTGTGTATCTGTGTGTGTCTGTCTGTGTGTGTGCCTGTGTGTTTATCTGTGTGTGTGTCTTTGTGTGTGTGTGTATCTGTGTGTGTGTGTCTGTATCTGTGTGTGAGTGTATACATCCCATCATTCAAACAAAAAAACTGCACACAAATACACCTTTTTATTGTTGTAAGAAAATAATAAATTACATTTCTGACATTATGTTAAGTTGCTCTTTATGCTCGCTTTTATCTTGTTTGTGCGTGTGTTCAGCCCTCCATAACTATTTCAGTGGACAATTTGGCCGTCTGGAACAAATAAGTTTGACCCCCCTGCTTTACACTGCAAATAAAAACAAATCCAATCATAGCAATTGCAACAGACGCCTCTCCACCGTTCATATTGCTTGTCACCTGGTTTAAAATGGTGGCGATTTTCTATATTGCGTCATTAGAGTTAGATGTATTGATTGTCCAGGTTGTTTGTGCCATTCCCCTTCTCCCAGTCCTGTCTTCCCTGTTTTCCCAGCAGGGAGTTGACCCATCATTCTAGAGGCACTACTTGTAATTTAATTAAGCTTTGCGGTGTGATTGCAGACCAGAAGGCGGGAACCAATGAGGACAAAACCGGCGATTTAAAAGTACAAACAATCCAGGAACGAACAACTCTGATAGAAAAAGCCCAAGGACCGGGCGAAACGCATCTTAGAGAACCAGCACTATCTGTGGACAAATATTTATATTTATTTTATTTGTTTTTAACTAATGGTGTTTAATAAATGTTCAAATTTGGATACTTAAGTCGTCCCTGGTTATTCCTTCCATCTACTTTGGAAAAGAAGGTTTGCCCCCCCTTTAGTGGTCTACAAGTTTTTAAACCTAAAGCCAGGTTTCTCTGTGGCTCTAAACCAGGTGATTAGTATATATTATTACCTTTATTCACTGGATTTCTCTTTATACTACACCAAGAATTCCCTTTTCTCCTGAGTGTATTTATATAGGAAAGAAGAGGGAGGGTATCACCTCAATAGACCAACGCGTTTGTGATCTGAGCCGGTCCATTTTTTGGCCATTATATGTTTCTTCAACTTGCCTTTTTTTGTACAATCTACACTATATTTCTTTTTCTTAATTTATAGCTCAGCTATAGATTCCATCTTAGTGTATATATAGGGGTAAGTGTACTCGTTTTTTATACTTTTTAGTGCTCCACCATGAGGGTTAGGTGGAGGGTGTTTACCTGCAAACATCTCTCCTTTTCCTCCATTTGCAGTGTGATTAGTTGATCGCCCACGTCCACACTGCTATTGGCTGACTTATGTTCACTGTACAGACTTAGAAATGGATAAAAGCCAGGTGTGAGTCTAAGTAAAGTGTAGATTGCAGTTCCCCACTTCAAGCGACTGGGGACCTTCTGTGGAAGCTCTCTCTCTCTCCCTGGAATATACTTGGCTCTATTAAGGAGGAAAAGGCTGTCTCTTTGCTACATTTTCCCTTAGGAGAAGGGATAAACATTGGGTGGAATAGGTCTGGGTTCAAAGCCTGAGTCCAGAACTCCTGTGTCCGTCACAGCAATAATAGCAACGTAACAAGCTGTAATGGAAGAGAGATTAACATACATCTGGTGTCTTACCAAGATAAAATTAATATTTGTTAGCAAATAATCATACACGTGGTAATAATATTTGTAACGTTACTCCATGCTACTGTCTCTAAAATCAAAAGAGGATTAGACAAAAATAATTGAAAACTATTTAACTAAAACCAATCTGAAACAGTATCTGTGACAAACGCTCCTTCCCCTGTTTGTTTGCTACAGACTCCTGGAGTAGTGTGGAAGCCGGCCTCCTGCACACCGACTATGGTCCAGGTCTGGGACTCTGGGAGTTACCCAGGAGCTCCTGAAAGTTAACCGTCAAAAGCACCAAATGCC